CCCTCTCCCCCTCTCCACCACATACTTGGCCCACATTGCAGGTGGCTCCCTCTACAGGCTAGTCAAGTAGCTGATGGGCATCTGGGTTTCCATCTGCACTGCATGGTGTGGTTTCAAGTGTCTAGGATCCCTGTGTGCTGTGTGCTGTTGGGTAGGTCTGTGGGTAGCATGGCGGTCTACAGGGCTCTGTCTGTCTTCCTCCTCCCTCATTGTGCTGTCTGGATCAGATTTGATTTGACTTTTGTGAGTCCCAGGCATAAAACAGCTTTGATCACCAAGCCAAGCATTGAGTTAGGATGAAGAACTGTCATCTGCCATGGCCCTGACTGATATAAGGACACCACCACCAACAAGGTGTCTCTTTACCCATTGACAGGGGGTTAATGCAGTTAATCTTTAAGTAATAAACTTTACAGGATTATATTTGACTCATCAGCATACCCTGTAGGAGAGGCACCCTACTGGCAGCCTTGGAACCCTCTATGCTCTGGATATTAGGCAGGATGGTTTTGTACTGTCTATATCCTCTACCCTCTTCTCTGTGATGCTGTTCCTACTGAGATCCAGCTGGATGGGCCTCTAGACTTGAAGAAGATTCAAGAGGTCATGAGGTCTGATGAAGGGGAAACTGAAGGGTTCTTTGGAAAGTCAGTTGTGTTGGTTGGTGTTTCGCTGAGGCAAACATGTGAAAGAGTGTTTTCCTGAAGTGGCCACAAGTGAAAGGATGTTTTGCTAAAGCAGACACATGAAAGGACATGTGACAGAGGATTCTTCACTAAAGACACACATGTATTGGTCTGCTATACATTGTGTAGTTGAGCTCCTTTTGTCAGGACTCCATAGAGAGAAATGCCCCCCAAAACTTCTGGTGGTCTGCTGGTGGCTTCTTGCTTCTTCCTCAGACTGGGGCTGATTGGCAGCATGATGTCAGCTGAGAAAGATTTGCATGCTAAGGGAAGACACATGTGAGGCAAGACCCATGGAAGGCATATGACGAATGGAGGGAGGCTAAATAGGACTCAACAGACTATGAGAGAGCTTGGCTTGCTTGGTGTCCTGTCTTTGCTAATCTTCATTTAGTCAAGAGAGGCATAGCAGAGAACTTCTGGCATCCCTGCTGGTCCTAATCCCTCCTGCTGAGGCCTGGCTGTTCCTGCTAGGTCATGCCACTACTGCTGGTATCCCAACACTACTGAACAGGACTGCTGGTATATCCATGAAGTGTTTGCAAGTAGATTGAGCTGCTGCTGCTGACCTGTGAACTGAACTGCTGATTTCCTGACAATGCAGATGGGATTTGCTCCAAAGAACTATTTCTAAACAGGTTCACTTCCCCTGTATCCTTTCTTTTCCACTACTTCTGGTGGATGGTGGGCTAGAAGTGAGGTTAAATTGTTTAAGAACCATTATATAAGTAGGCTTTGAAAAAATTAAAGCTATAGCCTGAGGATGATTTTGCTCAATGGTTCTCATTTAAGGACATCGGGGCTTGTGGGTAAACCAAAAGCAAGCACTATTCCTGGCTTTGATGGAATGTTGGCCCTGGTCATTCACTGGTGGGCTGTGTAAGTAGACCACATGTGTTAGCTGATAGTTGCTGCTTCTTGGATACAATATTTTTTAGTCTATAAATTAGAATACCAGTCTACCATGCTACAGTGTTATGAGAATTAAATTACTGATACATATGAAGCAGAGTTCCTAATGCATAATAAGCATTTAATATACAGTAGTAAGCTCTTCATGAAGATCCATAGGCTAACTTATTTCTGTAATTTAGTATAAAATTAGAATATTAACTTTTGAAAAGTTGTCATACTTAGGGCTTGGCACCCAACAGTTGCTTCTTTTCAGTGTCTTGACAGATTGGGAGTATGAATCAACTGCTGACCACTTTGGAGAGAGGTTCTCTGGCACTCACTGGAAGCAGCACCAGTTACGGGTAAAATAATGTTCATTGACATCAAAGGAGATTAAATACAAGCATTATAATTTGATATCAAAAATGTTAGTTTAAAGTAAGTAAGTTTTAAGTGCAAGTATCCCATCTCTGATTGAACACACGTACCACCATTCTGTCCCTATAATTTATTATTTCTTACCTTTGTTCTATGAATCTTGTACTTTTTCAAATACCCAAATCCATCTCAAATCCTTTTGGGAGACAGGTGAAGTTAAGTATGGCAAATTCCTGAACTCAATAACAGTAGGTTAGGAAGAGAAAAAACACAACAAGTGATACTTACTTCAGGCAAATTGTATGTTAGCTGAAATTTTCTTTTATAACCTTTCATGAATGGCATCACAGCTGTCTGACTGACTGAATTCAGTATAATTGTGGGAGTGGCTCATCAAAGAGATTTTAATATCATTTATTGTAAATACTTGCAACTGGAAATTGCAAAATTATTGCGGGAAGTATCTGAGAAATCTAAACTATTTTGTATCATTCACATCGTAGAGTTTTAGAATAGGGTATGACTTGCTTACTTTTCAGTTGTGTTTGGCTTGAACAATAAAAAGAGATCTAACCAACTTAATTTCATATTAGTCTAGCTTCAATTTTTCTTTGGAAATGAGAGAGAGGGTTTGTGTCTTCATAAAGTTTATGAGTTTCAAATATCCCTCCTCATTTGGATATTTTATTTGATTCTTAATCTAAGATAATAACAGAAACTATTTCAAATAGAAGGATATGGAGCTCATTAAAAATTTTGGAAGAGTTTTTGAGTCTTTCAATCATAGTTTGTTTCTCTTTGCATTTGTACTCTTTCCATTTAAAACTGCATCTGCAGTTGGTACTTGTATTGGTAAGAAAAGAAAAAATTGACCATTTTACAAGTGAAGGAATAAAGCTTTAAGTAAAGGTGGTCATTGTGTATCTAGTAAGACAGAATAAATGAAAAAGTAATAAAACATATTATTGTGCAATTTTAATGCACTAGACAGAAAGCACTGGAAAGACCTCTGGGCAGGATAGGGCGGAGCAGAAAGAAAAACTGCAGTAGAGTTTTGTTAGCTACAAACCAGAAGCCTTTAAAGTTTTTATAATGAGCAAAAGTAAGATTGTCAGTATAAAGAAAAACTAAGAATGGGAGAGGGAGGGAGGAATAAAGGGTAGAAGCTCCAATGTGATGGAGAAGGTCTGTGATGGTCAGAATCAGCAAGGTACAAGCATCTACCTAATCATATTAGAGCAGGGAGACTTACTGAGTGGCTTCTTTAGATCTAAGAAATTGATAGGAGTCCATGCTTGAGCACATCAGGAAGAAATTGAGAGACTTGTTGAAGAAGCTGGAGGTTGATCTAATCAAGATTGTCTAACTTACGAGAAAACAAAACCTAATGTAAGGGAAGTAAAGCCATCAAAGTTAAATACAGTTCAGGATGCAAGCAGGGACAGTAGGTCTTCTTAGTAGCATCAGGTCAGTAGGCAAATATCTAAACCTAAGCACTAGCAAAATCAGCAATGGCAGCACAAATCTGTTTTCCAGAGATGTAGAATTTCCAAAATATTAGAATAAGTGGGACTTGTTGACTTTAGAGGAAGAGGAGAAATGGGTGGAGATCTTAGCTTATGATCTTTGGTAGCACAAAGTTAATAGAACTATTAAAATAAGCTTGTTGTTTAATATATTTCCCTCTGTGGTTGAGGATCAAATCAAGGCCCTCTATAAGATAAGTATGCGCCAGGCTCCTGTTGAAGCACCTATGGTTTTGAAAGACAGTAGTTGAGTTGAACCTGTGGAAATTGCTTTAATGAGAACTTTAGGCAGAAGAAATTAGGGCATGGAGAGATGGGGCTTGGTGGAGGAGAGAGGAGACAGGGAGAAGACATCAAGTTCAAAGTGAGTGTGGATGCTGGAGAGATGCTGCGACCTTTAAGAGACCTTCCAGTTCTTACAGAGGACTCAGGTCCAGTTTCCAGCATTCTTGTCTGCCAGTTCCACCACCATTAGGAATTCCAATACCAGGGGGTCAGAGGCCCTTGTGTGGCTTTCACACTGAATGAATGTGGTATACATTCAAGCAAAAAGGGCACACACCACAAATACATAAATCTGGATAAACAAATGGAACAGTATGATGCGTGGGGAACAGCTTTGGGATAGGCTGACAGTGAACCAGTACCAACTAGATCATAAATAAGCTCTAATTTCTTCCTAAGATGGATGGAAAGCCAACAAAGGACACTCTGGCTTTCAGGTAAAACAAAACTCAAGAGCAGGTAAAGCCATATGGGATTTTAGGTGGTGGTGGGGTTATGTATACAGTCAGCATGGAAGATTGAGTTCATTTTATTTTTCTGCTTTGCTTGTCTCAGATGCCAGGGGTAAATCAGAATAGAGTCTAAGCCAGATCGTCCCGCCTCATGCAGCAACAACATCCACAGGGTAGAGCTATCTGCATTGGTTATGTATTATTATACCCGCTGATATTAAAGGAAAGACTGCTATTTGACTTGCTCATGACTCCACAGGTCAGTGTTTGGGCTTTGGCTCGGCTGACCACTACTGTTGCTGCTTTACACTGGGCTTACTCATTCAGAATCAGTCAAGTGAACTTTTTTGTGGGGTATAGTAGAATTTTGGGGATGTTTGCTGTGCTCCTTTTGCTTCCAAATATCTAAAGGCATTTCTATGCCCTCTTTAGCACATTCTAGCTCCTGAAAAATAGACACAAGACCTGATATTTTTATTAACAAGCTGTAAGCCTAAGCTGAGCAGGTTCTGAGCTGTTCCAACCCTCTAAGCTATTTACCTCCCAGCCACAGGCCCCAGTTTGCTTATGGTTGCCTCTCCCTGGCTTGCTCTGCTCCATGTGTGTTCTCATGGCCAATCGGTGGGTGACCTGCTTCTCACAACTACTCTTGGACCTTCTGCTTTATGGCCACCTCTCTTCTTCCTTTTTTGTGGTCCTTCTTCTCCTGGACCCTAAACAGTCTTGTGGTAAACATTTTCTCCTGGCTCTTCTCCCTCGGACCTTTCGGTGGGATTGGAAGTCCAGCCTTTCTATTTCCTCTGACCAGTCATTGGCTGTTCAGTCTTTTATTAACCAATCAGAGATAATTGGGGAACATTCTTTATACCACGTTGATACAGGAGAGTCTTCAATATTCATGACAATGCCCTTGTCTGGTTCATAACTAGATCTCAGTGCAGAGAGATCAGCATCGAATACATAGAGCACATGACCTTCCTCGAGCAGTAGGGCTGCATGGCTGGGACACTGGCTGCCGTGATCACATGATCTCATTCCAGACTGACAAGATGGGGCTTTTCCAAATGGCACTTTCACTGTTGTTTCTCCAGGGTGGTTACAGCAGAAGCTGGAAGACATTGTGCTACTGCAGGGCAAGGTCTAGCTTCTTGTCCCGAATT